TCAGTCGCCAGCTGGGGTTAAACCACAACGTAGAGTTTTATTAATATTTTAGTAGCAGCGTTAGTAATGGCATGAATGATTGTAGTGCTGTGATGAGCTATGGAGTTTTCAGAGAAATCCCTGTCTTAGATGGATCAATAAAGCCATACTGATTTACACCAGCAGAGAACCTGGGCCTCCAGATGTAGGGACCAACCCTGCAAACGTACTCTTCTCTGCCATTAGTCCTGGGAGTATTTCTAGAGAGCTCAACAGCAATAATCATCACCCCAGGAAGAAGTGGCTGAATTTAATGGCACCACTTGTACTAGCAAGCACTGGGTCTAGTCAGACCTGTTTGCAGAAAAAAAAATATTGCTCTGATTCCAGAAGCTATGCCTTTTTAGTGAAGTACTTAAGGATGTGCTCTCCTTTCAACCTGTGATTAAGTCCCGTTGGCATCAGTGGGTGCAAAGTAGTCTTAAGTGTTTTGCTGAATAGAAGCCGCATACGTTTACATGTTTACCTGCAGTTTTTCCACATCTGCTTTTAGAGACCTTTTATCTCTTCCTGTGAACTTCCCCTTCAACGTGTATCTTGTCGCCTCTGGGTGTGTTTTTTTCCACACTGTTTCAAGGAGACTCGTAGCACAGCGTTGGGTATTGCACTCGTTTCTTTCTCCAGCTGTAACACTGAGTATCGCCGCGACTTCAGCGTACACCCAGTTATTCAACTGAACTACAAGCACCTTCTGTGCACCTTGGGTCACTGGAGGAAACTTATGTCTCAAAACCGGACTCGAAATGGAGATTGCAAGGGTATTTCCTCCTGCCCCAGCAACAATAGCTCAAAAAAAGTTGGCTTATTTGTATTTCCACTTTCTACAGCCAGATACCTTGACATATCCAGTTGCTAAAGCTCAAAAGTTACAGCATAAGCTTGTGTTATCTTGTTCCTTGCCATTTTTCCTTAAGATGTCATCCCCTGACAAGTATAGTCCAGGCTATTTTCTCTTCTAGCTGGGGAGTTCTCCTTAAGAAATAAGCATGCTATCAAAGAAAAAGAAAATAAACCCATCTAGGATTATTTCCAGCAGGAAAAACAGCTGCAGCTGAGGGGGCAGCGATGCCAAAGCCCAGGCGTCCGGAGTCAGAACTCTGAGATTTGTGAAGAGTTAAGTGAGTTGCACATGGATAAGCAGCTGAAGGCTGAACCACCACCTCCAGTAGGGCAAAAAGAGGTAACAGAAACAAATTTCCTACCTGATACTGCATGCAACCCGTTGCACCAGCTCCATAGTGCATGTCACCGATTTATATGGGGTTTATGGCTTGTAAAAATACATGTTTGTCAAGTGGCAGGAAAGCAATAGTACGTAGTAGGTATCACAGTCTTTGTAAAGAAGAGAGAGGATTTTGTTGTCATAAAATAATTGGAAAGCTTGGAAAATGTGCATTATAAATTAAGATGGGATTCCAAGAGGCTTTGAAAAAACACAAAATCATCTATAATGTTACCATCTTATTTTAGGAGCAAGTATGTGTGTGTTCTCCCACTGAAAAGTAGCTCTAAGGATGGCATCTGCTGACTTGGCAGATCTGTACCTTGAGTTCACTGGAGGCCATCTGCTATCTGTCACAGATTACCATTTCTTTTCCTGTTAGCACATAGACCCAAGAAAGCTGCAACAATTTAAGTAGTTGACATGCAGATGCTAACTAAATAGTAAGCCTTGGTATCATTCAGCTGATGTTCGTCCAAGTGTAGCTCACTCATTGCTTTTCAATGTGTACCCATTGACCTTTATTTTCAATTTGTAGGATTATGTTGTCTTTAAAACATGAATACCAAAAATACACGTCCTTGTACCGTACACTGAGTGACTCCAGGCTTTAAATTCCCCCTATCCTACTTGCTGAGTTGTTGGGGGTTTTTCCCATTAGATTTAGCATTTTATTGACATAACATTACCTTTATTACCAGAGAGTGATGGATTCCTCTCTTTGAAATCAGGAACTGGTGGTTTTGGGTGATGTCCTGGGAGTTTGGGGAACTCCATAGCTCCTTGAGATAGGAACCAGTGGTGATTTGTGGGGACTGAATTAATGAAAGGGAAAGGATGACGTAGTATCAACATGCATCACACCTCTCCCAATTCTACTGTAAAACTGCTGGCAAATGTGCCCAGCAGGAGCAATCCCATGGAGGAATCTTGACAGGACAACAGGAAACAGAGCCATCAGAGCCAGAGCTCATCTTCTCCAGACCTGCTGATTCATATTGTATATGGGGTGGAATTTACTGAACTAAATGTAGATATCTGCATCTGAACTTGTCATCTGAAGCCCCTTTGTAGTCAATGAGGATCTGGAGCCAATGTAGTTAGGTAAATGTGTCTCATCTCTGACTGAAATCAACATTTAAACTAGGTCAGATGAATCACCTTCTAAAAGTGCTTCTTTCTCTCCATTGACTATAAAGGGAGCCCAGGGTAACCAGATGAGTTGTACACTTAGGTGAAATAAATTCCACTCACAGTAACCAGAAGTCCTCTAGCCATGAAGCATTTCTGTAAGGAGCAATCCTCCTTGCCAGAATACTTCTTGGCATATTGAACTTCATCTGCAGAAAGAAAAGGTCCTGAACTTTAGAGGAAGGAGACTCGAATATTTGATACTTCAGTCTCAGGAAAAAATGTATATATATTTACCAAAGAAACCCAAAACTTTAAAATAATGAGATGAAACATTATAACTAGGAGGAATTAGAAGACTGTTTCAGGAATTTTTTTTTCTCAGGGGATGAGGTATCCTTCATGTTTACATGTCTTTTTGAGATAAATAAACCCTGTGATCTTAACACAGAGGCTGGAAAACTATGTCCTTTCTTAGTGCTGTAACAAAATGTCATGATAAAAGAGGAACATTCTAGCCCTGATATATTCAGCAACATCGTGATAAAGAAATAATCCCCATTTCCTCCCTCAACCTTCAAAGGGTCCTGGGACACAAATGTCACCTTTCTATAGTAGAGTATAATTGATTCTATTTGCAGCTGCTTAGAAAGAGGTGGAGGAATATGGCAATAATCCAGGGATGACTTGAAATCAAACGGAAGTTCACATGAGGCTATGAATACCAACATGAAAGAGCAAAGCCCAAAGGATGCTATTTTTGAAGGCCAGATCTTGCGTGGACATAACATACTTACAGTCCTCCTATTCAGAAGTAATCTTTGTGCCGGCACACAAGGACATGCTAATCATCTTTCTGATGAATGTCCCAAGAACTTGCGACTAGCCAAATAAAGCCAGCAACTGCGAGGAAGTAACTTAACAGATTTGGTATGCCCAAGAGGCAGGGCTTTGAGTGATTCAGTCAATAACAGGAAGCATTGAATGTGTTCTGAATAAAACACTGTTGATGTCACTAAAGGATACATTATATGATTAAAAATTCATCCTATATAAATCATCAGAAAGACACCATAGAAATAAAATCATTGATGTCACAGGTGGGTAAGATCTCAGAGAACAAACTGGTTGATTTCTCTGCCAAAACACTGTCCCATAAAATATTTTGTACAGCTTTGTGGAATCTACCTTTAAATGTATCAGGCAACTTGGATTTCTTCATTTGCCAAAGGAAACAATTCACTTGCTTAGAAATCTCACAGCTGAGTATATTGCCTTAATAACCAGCCCTTTTTTTTTTAATTATTTTTTCCCTTTCAAAGTACCATTTCATTACTCTCTTTTACCAATTTTATCCATCATTCTCTTTTTATGAATTAATATCACTTAATTTAGTAAACTGTTGTTTGCTTCCTTTTGTCTTTGGCTTACCCCCTAAAGTCACAAGCCATTGTTCTGTCATTTCATTATTTCTTGTAAATGACTATCACTGTGCCCTTTATCTGACTTTTTTTACCTCTCTCTTTGCAACTCCCTAAATTGTTCCTTTTTGGAGTTGTTTTGCCAAGAAGTAAGCACAATATTCCAAATACAACTTCCACAGAACCATAAAGAGAGAAAATAGTGTCTCATTATCTAGACATGATGCTTTCATGCAGGTTTTCTGCATTGTTATATCCCACTGCAAAATCACATCTAATTTTTTAATATTACTCCAGGTGACTTGGGGTTACAGGTTTCCAGGATTTCCATTGAAATTTTCCCTGAGCTCTCTTATTTGTACTGTTTTGAGTCAAGTCTCATTTTGCTATATTCTGTTCATGTTTCACTTCTCTTTTCCTTTCTGCTTGCTCGGTTTCAATGCTCTCTCCAATTTAATGTTATCAGCTAACATGAGGATTATATCGGTCAGTACCTCTTCTATATCTTTAGTGAAGATAATGCTGACTCTAATCCCTACAGATCTCCTCTGAAGACAAAGTTTATGTTATATTTGTGTCCTTAGGATGGCTTTTCTCCACACAGTAATGGGTGAATCCAAGCCAATTACCATTTATTTTGAAAGTAGACTTTTCTATAACAGACATCCAGATATTTTCTTAAAGTTTATATATCATATGTCAATTTGGTAGATTAAGGCTGTGATCTTCAGAGGTGAGGGAGAGAGGAAGGGAGATAAGAGAGTTAAGCCTTGAGCAAACATCAACTTTCAATGAGATTTCAGCATCTCGCTGCTAAAGGCTTTTTGACAAACCCATTCGGATCAATTTGCCACTATTACAGACACAAGAGATGGGTGTGGAAGCCCTGTCTGGGTACTCAAAACAGCCACTCCACCCAGAAACACATTAAAAGCTACCCTTTGCACCACGAATTTATGCACTAGTGGGAGGTCTCCCAAAGGGGCTTCTGACGGATCCAGTTGTCTCTGCCTAGGACACCTCCTCCACTCACTTATTCCAAGAAAGAAAGAGGACATTCTGTATTTGTCCTTTTTGCCATCTTTTGGCCTCTTTGCACCCCGTTTGTGCACAGTACCCTTAGCAGACAGGAAAACCACCTCACTGCCTTTACATCTCTATGACATTTCACTCAGAGAACACGCTCTCCTTTCCTCCTCTGAGTCTTTATTTAATTTACTTTAATCACGAGCTACAGCGAGAGTTTAGTGATCTGTGGTTCCCATGATTATCCCCTTTTCCTCTTCTTTAAGCTCAGTATTGTGTTTACTTATTGCTGCTCTCCTGAGTTGTTTCCAGTTTTCCATGAGCATTCACTATTGATTGCTAATGATGTTAACTTGGTGTATCCGATCCCTTTATGCTCTACAATGTGCCTTGTTTGGATCTGCTGATTTGCTTATGTTTCAGGTTTTCTAGATATTTCTCTACTTACTTTTCTATTAATTCTAACAGGCTTTCCCTCCTCTTTTTATTGATCCCCTTGCTGGGTTCTTTTAAAAAGAGTTTTTCTTAGGCAACTTAATTTTAATTAGTTACATCTCCTTCATCAATTGTTATTATGTGTCTAGCTCTTTTCTTTCCATTACTGAGTTCATGAAAACCTTCTTAATCCCTTTAACCTTTCTGGCAAAGAGTAACTTTTGCTTCTTTTTCTACAAGCTTTCCTAATCTTTCCCTCCTCTCTCATACGTATGGTTCCTTCTTTTTCTAGTCCCAGTTCCGACCCTCAAACCTTTGTCTAGTGTCTTCTGAATCCATGTTCGCTGCCTCTTCTTCTTTGAAGGCTTTTCAGAAGAAATCCTGTCTGTTTTGTCTTGCATGTTCCCCATCTCCCTTTGACGCTGATGGATTCTAATATTTTCTGAAAATTTCTCCTGGTAAATAACTCTCGAGAGTTCTTGATTCTTTAAGATGTTTTCCTTGTAGTCTGTTATAACTGCACCTTATTGTGTTCTGTGAATTGCCTAACCTGTCTCTGCTAAATACAGCTCTCTCGTTGACAATGCTATTGAGCTGACCTTGTTCTCACAGTTTTCTTTGATTTCTGCCTATTGGTAAGAATTACATCCAACAGGGCTTCTCTTCTCATTGGAACCCCTATTTTCTACATCCTACAGCTGTATATGATTTAGGACTATTTCAGTGATCTGTGTTTTCACGTCTTCGTAACAGAACAGATAATGACTAAATGCATTCCCTAATGAACAGTATCAGAAAGTTCTGACTGTGCTAAAACTTGATATGACATTTTTTCCACCATCATATACCGTTGGTAGTCTGTAGAAAATGGGCTCTGTACGACAGCTGCATTCTGAATATGGATTTTTTAGAAGCTTTATCCATGTCTTTGACCTGCGCTTTCTGTTCTGACTCTCCTTTTAAAAGGTCTCTTCTCAATTGTTTGCAGTCCTTTTGAGTAGAGCATTAAAAACCCTAGCCAAGACTATGACCTTCTGGATGCTGTAGCTAATTGCAAACAAGTAGCTTCCATCCCCGCTTGCAAGCATTGCTGGAATGATCAGTCTTGCCCATTTTACCCCAGGTTCAGCATTTCTCTGAATTCAGCTATAAATTTTGCATTGACTATGTATACTGGAAAACAGAGGGCCCATTTTCACATTAATAATAAATAGATAAAGCTGTACCTATTCTCTAACTAACTCCATCACCATCATCCTCATGAAAATAATATTTTATGTGTACGTGCCATCTCTCATATAACTATCTCACAGGTTGTTTAAAAGCATGGGTAAGTATTATTGTCCTCATGTTTTTAAATGGACACAATAGTATTGCAAGATAAAGCAAAAAAAAATTCAGTAGGTACTCAGAGAACAGAATAAGACAGTTAACAAAAAACCCACCTCTCCTGTCTCCTGCTTATAGCTGTTTTGCATTGATATGACCCATAGAAGATACCAGCTTTGGTGTTGCCCACTTGTGCCGGATAGTGCTCTAATACAGTCAGAAACAAACTGTGAGCAGGGCTGGGCAAATATTAGATCTTTCACTTTAGTAGCCAAGCTGAATAATCAAGTAAAATATCATTTTGGATTAACACAAAATAGAAATGTTTTATTTTGACTAGTGAAATAAATTATGGAAAAAAAATCCTGTTTTCTTCTAAGAAAATGTTTTGATTCTGTTAAAAGAAAGTTTTGACCTGAAATGAAATTTCAATTTTGTATTTGGGTGATATATTTAATTATGTAACATATCTCTTTTAATAGCAAGTTCAGCCAAAATTCCAACTACAACATAAGATTTTTATCAAGTTCCTTGCTGTATTTAACCCAATTTATTGCATAGCCTCTAAAACATTTTTTTAAAATAATATATTCCCCAGAAATGTTTACCCAGATCTGCTTGAGAGTTCCTGCTCTAAAGACATAAGACAACCAATGCTTCAGGGAGTATTCAGGAATATTTTTGTCCCCATTTTGCAGTGGAGGATTTGAGAAACACTGAATTTAAACAACGCCCCTAAGATGGTGGTGTCAAATATTTCAGGCAAGCGATAGAGCCTCTGAAAGGTTTTCAAAAGCCATGTGTCCCCCCTCCTATGTCACCTTGAGATCAGAAGTGTGTGGCCAAAAGGCAAGGGGCCACATCACGTGGTGGGAACAAGTTAGCCCTGGGATGAGGCAGGTGGAAGAGCCCTCTCACACGTGCGTGCCTGTGGCATCGTGTGACCGGACCTTGGTGACAGAGGGACTTCTGCTCATCTCGGAGGAGAAGCTGTGGCAGCAGGGAGCAGAGCATGGTCCCGACTGACAAGGTGCAGTTTTCACCCATCAGTTGTGGGTGAGAAGCCTCAGGAATGAGGCCCCAGAGACAAGTCATCAAATTCATCCTTCAGCATTTCAGGAGCTAGGTCCCACTTCTGGTCCCCCCCATCTGAAGGTATGAGTCTTCAGGACATAAAAGCCTTAAAATCGTGAGTGGTTCAGTCATTCCAAGCTTCCACCCACCATTAATATTCAATGGCTGTTCACTATCTTTCTACTGTTTGCTTCTCTTTTATTTTGAAAAGTAAATTTTACATGTTAACTTTTTGTTGTTGTTCTTGTTGATGGGTCAACTCTTAGCTCACCACAGCGTAGGCAGAGCTGTCACTCGAGGAGCGGGCACCGTGTGAAGTGCATGGCAATGTCTCTGTCGTGGTGGCTTTAGCTGGGATATTGGTTAGTGGAATAAAAACTCAGCTACTTCCTTCGGGGCGATTGATCAATTTGTTTTCCTCATCTTTGCTCTTGTTGACAACAAGCTTGATGAAATCAGTCTTTCTGAAGGCAGCACAGTGGATTTGACAAATCCTGCAGAACTGCTGGAGCAGATCCCTGAGTTTGCTGAGGAGCTGATGGAGCCTGAAGATTGCTTCCCCGAAGGTAAGGGCCTTCATATTTCACTGCAATGCTGAGGCGAGAAACCTCCTCTTCTCTCAGTGAACATCTCTCCACCTTCACACCGCGTTGCTCTGGCTGCTTGCAGTAGTATTTCACTGGATGCACTTCATTTCTTAACTACTGTAACGCTCCAAACACACACTTGGAATCACTTGTCAACATTAGTCTTTGGATTTCCAAGGTGAGATAAGCCAAAAGCATGCTCTAAATGGCTGTGCAGCTTCTAACGTGCTAGGCTTTTTTCATCATGATTCGTGCCATAGAGGGTTTTTTTAATATGTTCATTTTTCTAACTTGGCCAATGAAGATTTTTGCCTTCCAATATGTGTGCATGATCAAATTTGCTGGTGAACTAACCAGATCAGGATGTTTCTGTTGCTTAACTATATATAGGCAGTTAACAGAAACTGTCTGGAGAGTTCATGAGTCCCAGGGACTCTCTTCCATTTATTTTAAAGGGTGTTAAGATTAGCATGTCCAGTAACTTTCATCTGATCAGGGATGTGCTATGTGGAAGGTATTTTACTTAATTATTTTAGATAACAACAATTCACATTTACGTAACTGCTTTTAATACCCGAATAAGCCAGCATTTTATTAATTTATTAACACCAGCCTGCTCCAAAACACAGGTTTAAAATGCAGCTATATCAGAAGATCAATTTTAAAGTAAATCTATAAGGTAAATAACATCCTAAATAATTTCTTCTCAGAGTGAGTTCTATTCCAAATATTATCTCTGTCAGATTCCGCATTTTTCTTTAAATCTGGGTTAGGAAAAATGGGGTTAGCTAAATGTTAGTATATTCCCTTGAAAATTCAAGGATTATTACAAATAAAAACAGAGCTGCTCAGATGGGATCAGACAGAGATGATTTGCTGGGTATATGAATGCCCCTGAAGTCAGCAAAAATGTGCATCTCTATATGTGTGAGAAAGATGATTGAATGAGGTAACGGAGCCCTGCAGGGCTTACAAATGTCCTTAGGATCTAAACATTTTTTTGGCAGCTCTGCTTAAAAGCAGTAGCCAAAAATTAATGCAGTTGACGGAAGAAAGCATGGTACTATGCTGTAACTATTCTGGCCCATACAATAACATTTAGAAATTAGATCTAGTGTTTTCATTCTTTCACAATGTATTTCTAATGAAGCTAGTGAGCAGCAATCTATGTTGTGCACTGAAAAGTGAGAAATTATATTATAATTGCCTAAACAAGCCAGTGCTACAAGACCAGTGCTAGTCAGATGCCAGTTTACAAATTCTGAAACTGTGGTTGGCCATGATTGCCTTCTAGTTTTTAAAAGAGCTTAAATGGACATCACACAACCCATCACTTCATTCAGTGCACAGCCCTGATTCATTCCCAGAGCAGTAGCACTCTGTAATTTGCTCTGTCTTAAAATAACCAGAACTGCCCAAAACTCCCATCATACAGGACCACGTCAGTACCAACCCAGTTTGCCAGATCTTCGCTGCTGTCAATGGGGCGCGGGGTAGCAGTGGCAAGCGGTGCTCTTCTAGATGGGTCATTGGAAACATTAAGCCAGTTTTGAAGCCCACTCATCATCCTAACAGCAGAGAAATGTAGAAATGAAGGCGTTGTGGGCTGAACCCCAAGCTTGCCCTGGGTTACATCCATCCTGCTGGCTCCTGCTCCCTTCCCCTGGGAGCATCCCTGCTCCTGCCTTTTGCCTTTTATTCCTCATCTCTCCTAGTTCCTCACCAGTCCCTGTTAAAGTCAGGGTGTTTTTCTCTTCTCCCAGGGGATGGCCAGCTGAGCCTTGAGCTCTGAATGGGAATTCAAGGAGAGCCTGCTCCCAGCCCTTGGCCCAGTGCCGGGTGTCCGGGGGCACTGGGGATGCAGTTGCAGGCGACGTCCCCCCCATCTCATCTGCTCTGCTTTCCTATGCAGCGCATACCCATGCAGAGTTTTCAGAGGCTACTGGGTAGGCTAAACGTGATCACATTCCTCATGGATTTGGCAAAAATGCATAAACTTGACACGTGAATGTCCCCTCATCAAATTTCAAGTCAAAGTGCCATAAACTGAAAGTCCAACTGATTCTTACTGCAATGACATTAAAATTTGTTTTTATTTTTGCAGGGAAACAAAAGTGTTTCCCTATTATCATCTTCTATTAAATACCTTCCTATTTTTACCCGAACTTACCATTGCAATTAAACCTCATGCAGTTATCATTTCAGTCTAGTTAAAAAACAAGCAAACAAACAAACAACAGTCTAGTTAGCGAAGATATGACAAAGTTATAAAGTACTGAAATGGAATTATTGAAGGGCAAGCACCGGGCAAATTTATCTGGTGTTGCCTTTACTGGCTTGTAATAAAGAGATACAACAATATTGGGTATATTTGGGAGAATGACCAGCTAATACTTGTGAAAGAAGGAGGTTAGGTGAGATGAAGAGGAAGAGCAGGGGGAAGGGTTAAGTTCTTACTTTGTTAGCTCACCAGCTATCTAAATTCAAACTATGACATTTCTAAATACATCCAGCATAGGTTGTGTCCTGAACAAATATGTTCCAGATTCAGCCCCCTTTTTCAGATAACAAAGGCAATGAAGATAATGCATGTTCTTGAAATAGTTGCTGAAAGTTTGCTGAGGTCACAGTTTTCCCGGAGTTCGGTGACCCAGATTAGCCATAGGTCGTTTTTCTTGGGGAGACTTGTTAATTCGTTATCACCTCAAAATAGCTTTGATTAGGGTCAATGGGGAATATTCTTGGGTCAGGACATGTGAAGCCAAGGTAGGGTCACAGCTCTGGCAGCTAGCAAATATTGCTGGGAAAAACCTGATAGAAATGGAGAGAGATCATTCTTGTTGCCAGTTGATGGGAAAGCAACATCTAGGCAACGCCAGCTATTTGGGTATTTTTTCCTCCAGATGCCTTGCAACACTCCAGTCCTGTTACCTCTGTTGGTATGTGTTCTCTGCATCAAAAATTGCTATCTGTTTGGACATTCTCTTCTGTGTCTCACAGAAGGTCGTCCAAAGAGAGCCCCTGGCCCCAGCATGCTCCTCTCTCCCAGACCCTAATAGGAGAAAGTTTTCACCAAGTCCTCAAGCGTAATTCCCCGGACACAGCCCGCTGGCAAAGGTTTCAAAGGAGTATCATCAGATGGTCGTGCGAGAATGAGCTACCTTGCTCAACGCGCGGTTGATCGCAACTCGTGACACCGAGGACGCCCGCAACCAGTTTTTCATGTGACCATGTAGGAGCAATTATCGCAGCTGGAAATGCCATGCGCTACAGTGAAGTTACTCTGATTAATGGTGGGATCTGCGTCACGCTCTCCCCAACCGCAGTTAGAGGTCGTTTAGAAATAAAAAAGCGAAGAGGAGCTCAAACAGACCATTAAACTAAACAAATCTAAACTGAGCTGTGGGGATTGCCACCAGATGATGTTTAAAAGCTAAGTAAAACCAAACCAAGCCCAACAAAACGTGTTAACTGTCATCCTAGGGAAAAACTCACGGAACAAAAACAAGTTTTAAGGTATCTTTTTCCTCTAGCCGTAATATCTGAGATACAGCGTTTTTTTCCATCAGGAAGGGCGTGCTAGTATTTTGTTGTATACAGTTTTCAGACGTCATAAAACTCTTAGAGTCCTATCGCATGTACAGAATTAAATTAATTTGGGTTGGACTGGACCTCTGGATTTCAACTCACCCACGCCTTCTCTCAAAGCAGGGCTGACATTGGTGGTGGACCAGGCTGCCCACTGCCTTTGCTTCAAGGCGTCACATCGTTATTTGTAGTGACCTGCAAGAGGATATGTTTTGAGGAGAGTAGCAGCAGATAAACAAGAAATGTATCCTTGTAAAGCCCTTGGAAGAGTAAAAACACCTTGGCAGCACCCGGTTGTAGTACATGAGAAAAGACTCAAATCTCCATGTGTGTCTCAGGTACCCGAATGCTGGAGACAATGATGGCAAATCTGTTTTAGCCCTAGAGCTTAAAACCCAGCCATGTAGGTTAGGGGGGCCAGAAGATGAGAAACGGGTTAAATAAGGAGGGTCTGCAGAGATCGTGTTCCCTCCACGCATGGGGAGACAGCTGGGGGCTTATGAAGGGACAGTGCAACCAGACTTGCTTTCTTGTTTGAGCGTACACAGCTAGCCAGACTGGTCATTAGAAACCCACCTTGGCAGATATATATCTCTCAAAACCATGTGATGAATACCTGCCTGCTTGAGTTTATGCTGAGGAAGCTGTATTTTCTTTGTGTCAAACCAACCAATGCTGTAACCAGCATTCAAAGCTAAGCAAAATACTGTTTTGTAATAAAAATCAATGTCCCAATAATTGGGAACTCCTGTGTAAAAGTAGCTACAAAATTACTGCAGTTTGAACACAAGGTACCAGACTTACTGGACCAGAATATAGAAGAAATTAATTGGTCTTCCTTCTTTATTGAAGAGAATCAGCAGCCCAATCCATCCAAAACATATCTAATAATTTTATGTAAATTTAAATGTATATATTGGTGTGAACAAGCAGCGGATTTGTAAAGTCTTTACTCATAAGCTTGAAATCAATAGGCTTGGCTGTCATGCATGCAGGGGGAAGTTTTTGCAGTATAGCTCCCACACTTACAAAGAAATTTTTTTCCCAATGCACCAAGGTAATGCAATCAGGTCTAACAGCTCCATGATTATAATGCACCAGGCTAGAAAATGTGAATGTGGAACCAAAGGAATATTTACACAAAATGCATTGTATATTAAATTCCTCCTGCCTGTTTTTTTTTTCTTTTTTTGGTAACATATTTATCATTGTGGCAGATGTTTAAGTAAGAGCTTTCTCTGTCACACCTGCAGTGGAGACTGTGGCTTAGGACACGTTTTAATCTGCACAGTTTTTGTGATTGTGCCATAAGACACCCCAGTGACTGAAGGGAACAATTCCCTTGTTATGAAAAACAAACAAAAAGTAAATAATATCATGGTATTCTGATGCATTTGGAAAGGTTTCTTGGTAAATAGGTCTCTGTTTTGAGAGAAATGGTATGTAATGTTCAAATATGAATTGAAAACAGATGTTGTCCTTGGACAAGTTGACCACTAATGCAGCTCAGTACAGCTTCACTGATTTACCAGCAAATAACTCAACCCTTTGTGGGCGACTTTTTCTGCTGTTCTGTGTTTCTGTTGAGCAGTAACCTACTACCCAGAAGGCCATGGTAGAAATGAGTCAGTTTGCTCTCAAAAAAGATGTAACCCAACATGAATTGGGGTGGCAAAACTAAGTCCTGACTCAATCACAAGGTGGTTGGCTTCTTCTACCCAACCTGTTTCCCACTAGCATTGATTTCAGGGGGATAGCACAAATCTATTAGACAAGGCAGTATGAGTAATGCTGTTATAAGAAATGCCAAAGGGTTTATTCCTGCCTTGACACTTCCTGTGCTAAAAGGTGTTAATGAATGGTCTTTTTCGTGTGGAGAAAGTAGCTTTCAAAACCTGAAGCTGGGGTCTGCTGACCACCTGCCTTGCTGTAGAAGCCAGCTGGAGTTATGGTTGCTCAGACCCTCACCAGGTCATGCCTTAGACACACTGCAATGTTTTTGATATTTTGATTTCACAGAAATGGAAAAAAACCCCACTGTTAGAATGCTGACCAAGGTCAGGTAAACTTTTTTGTTGGGTTATGTGAAGCTTCTAATTCAGCATTTAAGCTTGGGTCAAGGTCACCAGAAAAGTAGGCTACCAGCATTACGAGAGAGTTCAGAGAAGCACAGGCATGAAATAACAGTCAGTGAGGGAAATCAGAAAATTTGAAATAGAAATAGAACTTCACTAATTCATTAAAAAACCTGTTTGTGGTCAATTTTATTTTTTTCTTTCAGTTTTGTTTTTTTTTCTGTTTGATTTATGAATAGTTAAGAATAGCATTTCATCTGAATTGCAGTCAGCATGATTATTCAAGGAAGTGCTACTTGACATTAGTAATTGTATCAGAATCTGGTCTAAACATTTCTGAACTGGGCCCAATCAAAAGCATGGGATTTAATAGTGCTGTGATTTTGGGCTGACTCATCTGAGAAGCTATTTTGGATTTTTCAAGGTATTACTGTCAGTAACTAGGACTTTTTTTTTAGATCGGAATTGCATGAAAGCCATCAAAGAGCATTAAAAAAAAAAAGATTAGTGGTCCTAGCTGGCTTTCTGTCTTTAAAAATACCTCTCTGTACCTGTAGATTATCAGATGGAAGCTGACTGAATCAGCAATAGCCTGTTTTTACCATTTTGTAAGTATTTTCAGCCACAAAAGAAGTGATTTTGGAATTCACGGTGCCCTGCTCATTAGTATTTAATTTGAAGGTGATCCCCTAATTTTAGCTGTGCCTGGGCTCAGGTAATCATGTAGGCTCCCTGTGCAGTGGAAAGACAGAGGCAGACTCCTCCAGGGAATGATTCATCCAACTATCTTACGGTGGGGAAAAACACTTCCTGGAAGATCCTAACCTTTTCCAACGGTACTTGCAGAATATTTCTACTCTGTAAGAGCATGACAGAGCATGTCATACCTGTTACTAGCTGGGCCTGGGCATTTATCTAAAAGACTAAAAAGCGAAGTATCCATCTAGGAAGTAACTGAGGAGAAAAGAGGGGAAAGTTTCTGGACAAATGTTTTAAGTCTGAAAAATGCTGATTTTTTCCAGATGAAATTGTTTATGGGAACAAGGTAGGCTCATGGAAAGTTTATAATTTTATTCTGTTAGAAGCAATAGTTACCTCCAGTTGAAGGGGGATTTCTGCTTCACATGAGAAATCCACACTTACATAGTGAACAACCTGCTCATTAGGCTGTTCTCGTGACGAATGAGGAATCTAAGCCCAAGTCTTTGATCTTCTTGATCCAAATCTGAGCCGACAATGAGGTGGCCTGTGCACCTGCATAACAGCACAGAGTGTGGACCAGACACCTGAAAGCTGGTAATGACCATACAAGTTGTGGGGTGAGAAGTAGTGTAAGAGTTCTCTGGCAGCACTGCTAAGAGATGCAACTAATAGCCCCCTCTGTCGTGCCATGCGGGTGGGATTGTACCGCAGGGGCATCTCTAAGCAGAGCTGCCATATAAGTGTCTTAGCTCAGGGATCCCGGTACCATGCAGTATGGCATACCTGAAGTCTGTTCCGTGTACCTACTTCCTAAAATATACCCAAATCACACACGTTACCGTCTCTGAGCACTGTATTGGTTTTAGCAAAAAGTAGTGACTAACATGATATCCTTTTATCCCTTGACATGATTCTTCGGTGTTCAGCATTGAAGTGCTTAGAGGGATAAAACTTGGAGTGGTACCTGACCTACAAAGAGGCAGAGAGCTGGTTCTTACACTTCTATCTTCTCCTAGCATTATGTTCTTCTCAAATAGTTTGATTAAATCAGTGTATTTCAACTGAGCCCAGAATATCTCTGAATTCCAGAATACAGTGGTAAACTGGGAACTGGTGTGGGTCTGTGTGACGGAGGCATTTAGAGGACAGGTAGTTACTTGCATGGCTGTCTCATTACCTTTGGAGAAATGGTTTACTGTCCTGTTAGTCCCATACCAAAACCTCATACATCCAAGAGCCTACACCTACCAAACATCTCAGAAATGTGAGGGAAAGGGGAGATCTGGGAGTGGGTCATGTATGAAACATCCTACAGTTCTGCTGCTCCATAGCAGGGATCTGGGCTAACAAAAACTTACAGAAAATGCCACGAGGACCACAGCAGACTTAGCAGCTTTCTTTCTCCTGGCAGAGCCTGCTGCCGGCAGAGCCCCACTTCCAGCTGCCTGGGAATCCCGGCGTCCTGGGAGTTGCACTTGATCTCCTCGCGTATCACATGCAGCTCAAGCGCCTCTGTTATGCCACCTTGAATTAGCAGCATCTGCTGTCTGCGTAACCTTGGCACTCACCCTCTTTCCTTCCCCAGCTTCCTTGCCTAAATATTATTTCTACTTGCAATAACATTGCATTACATCACCATAGTGAGATGTCCTCTCTTGTCACTTCTGAGCAGATGTTTTATGCTTCAAGACATGTTAGCGACCTTGACCACCTTTCAGCTATGGAAGCAGCTGGCCTGTGATTTTTTTTCTCATGATGGGACTCATAAAGCTCCATAGCTAAGTCTCTTTCTATACAACACATGGATTATATGTAGGGTAAAAACACTGCTTTTTGAAAATAATGTCGTTTCTGAGGGTCATTGTCATCAGCAAATGTTGTGAAATTTGAGTCAAATTATCTGACATAAGGCTGAATGGCCAGCCTGGAAAAGGACAAGTCCTGGCTACCGGGGTGTCCTCTCACAGAATTTTAAGTTCAATGCACATGGTGTTTTTTAAAATGGGAGAGATGGATCTGTCCATTACCAATGACAATATCCTTTTGCTATAACAAATGAATGTTGCTAAGGAAACTGAAAATGGCCATGGTTTTGCCTACCAGAAATCCTTGTGTGGTCCCCATTACGACCACAGCATTTAACTATCACACAGTATTTGTCCCTAAGGTCAGAAAGTGCCATGAAACATCAGTGGGGAACCTGCTGTGGACTGGATATCTAAATTTCTGCTGACATCAAAGGGGATTTAACCGCCTAAATATATTTCCAAAGTTGTTCTAATGCCTTGTTTAAGCTCCTGAGAGTTCAAGAGATCAAAATCTGCTCTGGGTTTTGCTGTCTGGGTCTCTTCAGCACATTGGTCCCATCTGCACTGTAACACCTCCTCCCCTCATCTCCCTTTCATCAGATTGCCACTTTTAATGAGTAATTCTAGCGGTATTGTAATACCAAGAAAATATCCTTCCTCCATTCAAAAGGATGTGGAAACTATTGGTAATACCCTGCTAGAGTCATTAGTCCTGATCAGGGTGCTGCCTGAGCTCAGTTAACACAATGTGATCGACCTAGGGCACTGGTGACTCACTGCCAATACATTCCGTACCATAAAAACCATTGGGAGAAATCACTGGGGCATGTTTTAAGTGTTTTTGAATGTTTTTTTAATAGAGGAATGAGAGGGGGAAACGGAAGGCAGAGCAGAAGAGGTTGGTGAGAAAAACAAGGGAGGAAAGGCTCCATGCAGCAGCTTATTGCTGGAAAAAATCTAGTTTACCAGCTCCTTATTGCAGCTTTACGAATTAAATGGGCTTTTTTAACAATTGCTTTGTTTTCGTTTTGCTCCTTTTCAGTTTGTGTGCGATTCTTCCCATGCTGTTCAGTGGACGTCACAAAATTTCCAGGCAAAATTTGGTGGAGGCTGCGGAAAACCTGCTACAGAATCGTCGAACACAACTGGTTTGAAACTTTCATCATATTCATGATCCTGCTGAGCAGTGGAGCCCTGGTAAATGTAACAGGATTTCCTAGCTGGTTGAAAGTGGACATGGGTCTCAGAGAAGGTGTTCTCCACTTAGCTGTCCCTAAGATCTCATGAGCTCTTACTGCTCATTTCTCAAAGCAAAGCATGTTTGGAGCTTTTCTGATTTCACCTACCTTTATCATATGGGGGGGGAACTTTCTCCTGTTACAACATAAAATTATGATGTGCACATGTTTTGAAAAGCAAATCCCGGAGTTTCTGCTTCAGCATCCCATAACTGCTCCATGGCAGTTCCCATCTGGAGGCTTGTATTTTGCTCCAGGGATGGCTTTTTTTTAATTTTTCTTTTTTTTTAGCACATTTTGAAACCAGCAAAGCAAAATCATAAGAGACGCAGGGGACACTGAATCAGTGCTACACATGGAGCTAGTGGGTGCCTGTCATGTTTTGAATACACCTTCGCTTAAACCACTGTACCTTCCCTGCACAGATAGCTCCTGCTTGCATCCGAAGGAATGTGTATATATGGAGGTTGGTTGGTCATTGCCCAGGACTCTGATAAGGGATCCTCTCCTCCTGAGATCCCACTGCGTACTGGGATTACCCTCTCTGTATTATCAGCCCTGGGCTCTTCACAGTGATGGCAGCATATATTTATGTTGCTCATTTACATGTCAGGAATGTAAATCCTGGTTGGGATTGAAGTCTCAGGTTTTTATCTGGGCGTAGACAAAGGGGTATATCAAGAGTTCTCCAGGCTTTAGTCTGATGGTCACTGATCTTCTCCTCCGTGATGGAGTAAGAAATACACCTACTAAATTTGCAGGCAGTGCCATGTTTGGACAGGTTATCCGTGTATTTCTGGTGGTCAGGATTAACTTCAGCCAAACGGATGAATCTGCCTTAAATAGTAAGAGGAACATCATCTTAGAAAGGTGCCTGCTTCACCTCATCAGGAATTATCAGGGGCAGAAAGGCATGATGCAAGATGACCGGTAAGGTAGCAGATTTACTAAAAAGAGCTGGAGAGAGAACAGGCAACAAACAGGATAGAGTAAACTACATCACAGCACCGCACAAAAGCCGAACACCCCACTGGGCTGTATAAATAAGCATGTTCTTCCACTCCAGTTGGCATCAAGGAGGCCTCAGCTGGAGAACTGGCTTCAGCTCTTGGCATTGCACTTTGGGAAAGACATGGGCTAATTGAAGAAACTCCAGAGGAGAGCAACACAAATTATCAGTGGCCTAAAAAAAGAGGAAAACACAGAAGTACTGGATTTATGTAGTTTTAAGAAAGTCTCCGCAGGGAGACAAGAAGGTGGAAATACATAAACGTTGATGCAAAAAGGAAAGGAATGGACTGTTCTCCAGAGATGGGCTGAAATTTCACCCAGGGGATTTTATTTTATTACGAAAAGTAAGAGGCTGAAAAACTTGGGTAAATAGTCATTTTGCTGAAAATTGTCATAGCTTTGCTGAAATCAGTGGAGTCTGACAGTTTTTGCACCAGCTTGAGAATCAGCATGTTAATTTTTTAACACATTTTAAAGGGGGCATGTTGCTTGCTATAATACACTTTAGATGAATACACTTCCTTACATATGTAATTAAAAGGGCCTTAGATACTGAGCACTGCAATATAAATCTCATTTAATTTTCATTGCATGCATTCATTTACTTTTTGCGATTTTCAATTTAGCCGCTGCAATTCTGTATAAGGGCAAATTATACTGCATTTTCTCACATATCAGCACTGCGCTTCAGTATTTGGACTGGAGATGTTGGAGGCGACTCACGACTTTTTTCTTCTGTTATTCTGGGGTGAGCTCTTCCAAAAACTGAGCTCATCTGGCTACATCCCTGGGACATGCTAAGTTCTTAAGGGATTTTAAAAGCCAGCATATATTTGAGTGTGGTACTTAAACCATCAGAATATATCTATAGCTTACTGCAAAAGATCCAAACCCCTTTCTTATGCATTTAAGCCATAAGCACTCGAACAGGGAACCTGTGTTTTAATAGTAGTTTTGGATAACACTGCAGGTAGCCTGTTTAACTCTTTTTATAACACACAAAGCAAAGCAAAAGAAATAACCCTTGATGATGTTTTATATTGCAAAGATTTCATCCATTGTCACTGTGAAAAAATGAAAAGCACTAGAGTTTTGTCATTTGGGTAATATCCATAGCTTGTGCAGAAGTACAGTGCACCTGAGGCATTCAGGTAGCATATTTTTCATCCCTTATTAAGCTGCTTCGTGACTCACAGTGTGCTCTTAGTAGACAAAACACAATGTACTTTTTGACAAGTTAGTAGAAAATAGGGAGAGCAAAGGAAGGAGAGGAGGAAATCACTTTAAATAGTTTGTTGTTATTTTTGCAGTAATTGCAAAGCACAGCAAGTCATCTGACAAAGTGAGTGAGCCCTTACAAGAAGTGATAAACTCCAATCTCGCTGTGTATTGTTTTCTGTGGCTTTCTCCAACAGCTCTTTCACACCCTTGAAATATCATTTTTGAAGGCAAGATAGGAGACCGAGTTGCAGTGAAAACGTCACCCCAAAGTGTTGGGACAAATGGACAAGCTTTGGCACAGACTGCCAAAGCTTTCTTGTCAGTTTAATTACTGTTCCCTGGCAGGCAAACGAGCAGTGTGACTGCTTGAGTGACAAGTAACACACTTCTTGTATCTCCAGGCACTGGGTGTTTGCTAACTTTTTGAAGTTCCTCAGAAAGTAGCTACAGATCTTGAAATATGTAAATGCAGATAATTAAGATGATTAACACAGACCCTCTCAAATAATGTTGTTTCTTGCTGCCAAGTGCCCTGGGTCACACGATGGGACCAGAGTCATGTATCAAAGCTTGGGTTATCCAGGTTACAGGGACATGGGAGCAGCTTGTGTAATGACAGTCGGTAGAGTGGCTGGGGAAGCAGACCGTAACCGCTGCTCAGCTTAGAAGCCCCAAAATGGGCCGTATATTTGCAACCCTGACTCTAGGATCCTGCATTTTATTTGACGTACATTATACAGTGAAAGCTAAATTATGAGACAACTTTATTTGTTTTATTTTAGTAGGCATATTGGTTTATGTTTTAAATATTTTAAAGGGGTTATTAAGTTGCTTGTATTTGATACAGATACTGAAAGTCCTTTGATGATGCCCTGTGTAAGATTAGTTAGAGAGACAGATGAGATGAGTAGATAGATACCTTGACCTTTAAAACATAATTGTTCTGTTAAGTGAATAATAATGAGCATTTCTTGAGGCAGATAGCTGTAGCTACCTGAAATGTGATGGCTGAACTGAAGCCAGGGAACTCTGGTACTCTATAACACAGGCAGGTTAATAACCCAATTTGTCATCATTAGCAATAAGACGTATTTGACTAAATGTAAGGGTCGGATTCTGCCTCTTAAAGACAGGCATCCTGTGCCCTGGGACATCTGAGGTGCCCCGACAGCAGTGGCACAGCCAACGGGAGCTGAGGCAGGATGCCCTCGGGCAGCTTGGGGTGGCACCCTGCTCACAGGTTCACCTTCCCAAATTTAGGGTGCTTAAGCTCTTCTTACACTCAAAGATGTCTAGTCAGTACAGCCAGCAGAGGCTGGAGAGACATAGCTAAGCATGTGTCCATTATAAGGGAAAGCTGAACAGATCTCTGTTAGGTTAGGGTCAGTCCTATTTGTGCCTGTGCACTCTTTCTGGTGGTAACATTAAAATATATCAGAAACCACAGGCAGTACATGATATCCCATCAAATAATACTACAGACTTGCAGTGCAGCACCAATGCTTTCAAACACAGCTTAGGAGAAGTTTTTTATCAATCTTTTGTACTTCCAGGCTTTTGAAGATATTTATCTTGAAGATAGAAAAAACATAAAAACCATGCTGGAATATGCTGACAAAATATTCACTTACATCTTTGTCTTGGAAATGCTCCTGAAATGGGTGGCTTATGGCTTCAAGAAGTATTTCACCAATGCCTGGTGCTGGCTGGACTTCCTTATTGTAGACGTAAGTATCATTTTGGAACTACGATGCTTCTCGTGTTGGATTTTATAATGCGTAAGAAAGGGCTGTTAAGTCTGGCAGTTTTGCATTTGCAAAATGACAGCTGTCACTCTGATTCGAGTAACAACCATAGGCAAAGCTTGAAGGAGGTCTTGATATGTAACCGTGCATCCCCAGGAATCAGCTTGCCAGAGCAGAGAAGACCTCTTTGTGTCATTACGCAGAGGTGTCACCCTGCTAATTTGAGTCACATTCCCTTCTCATCCCTAGGAACTCGCTCTTTCTTTTAGCATTTAACATCTCGTTCCACACTCCCGGCTAGCACAAGGTCCGGTTACCTCCGACTGCTCCCCACATGACCTCGACACACAAGTCTTTCAGCAGATTAGAGAAGCTGTCCTTGGCGTAGTTTCCCAGCAAGGCTGCCAGCGGCGTGTGACAGTATGTTAAGTACCGTCTCCCAAGTATTTACCAGTGAAGGAGTCCAGAAGAAGGTGTGAATAGTTCTCTCCTCAAAGTGATTTCACTATTACAATGCCTTACCAAATACTCTAAATCCTTGAAATAACACAATGCTCAGTTCTCCTATGAGGATAGTCCTTAAAAGCCAGTAGTAGTTGAACAAAAGGGAGCTTATGCCCCAGGAGTATTGCTAGTACCAGTCACGTCCCCTCCAAAGTTTCACATTGCCTGGATGTGGGATCTGCCAAATACAGCAAAAGCCAGCAACACCGCATCCTCCAGATGAGGTTTAACATTCATCGTAGCGTATCAATAAGGAGGCAATTATCTCCCTGAGGCCATTTCTTATTAGCTTGAGGTATTAATGTGGAAGGCTGGCACAGCTCTGACATGACTGTGTAACTTATTAAACTTTTGATAAATTATTTTTCCCCATTTTACATCTGAACCTTGACTCAGGGGAGAACTGCACTTTCTTTGGCCCCAGTCCAGGAAAGCACTTCAATGGGACGATTTACTTGTTTGAAGTTATGGACATGTCTAAGTGCACTGCTGGATCAGAGCCTTTGGAAGCTTCTCCAGAGCTTTAATAAATTGATTTATGAAAAGGAAGTTCTTTACGTAAATTGTAGGTCATAAATTCCTCTTTGCATACATGCTTGGAAACCTCTTAAAGGGAAGGCACTCATTTTTCACAGACTAGCTTCAGTAGAAGAGGAAGGCCTGGTTTAATTATCTAACCACAAAATTGGAAACCACCAGTTCCTAAGTTATAGCCCAACCCCGAAAACTGTGCTCACTGTGGTTTAGGTCGAGTGACATAGCTTTTCTTTCCTGGTTTCTCCATCTGCAAAATGGGACTAATAGGACTCACCTAAAGTGTTATATGGGCTTCCAGGAATTTGTTATTGGAGTTATCGTTTTAATGAGCTTCTGAAGAGTAGAAGGGCTGGATGAGGACTGAATATTGTCACAACTATAAGTAGGGGTCTTCCTGATAGGAACAACTTCACGACGAATTCACTGAAACAGTTTGGAGCTCTGCTGCATCATTAACAATTTGAAATGAGTTCCATGCTTGTTAGAAATACATACTTTATAGCATGACATCTAATTAATACCAAAGAGAGTAAAACAAAAACTAACCAAATCCTGTCCTCCAGGCGAAAAGCCCTCTTGGAAGAGGAGCTACACAAGAATGCAAAGTCAGTATGTAACCCAAAAATTTAGGCACGTGTTTGCTTTTTAAGTGTGGGGTTTGTGAGTATAATGACACGTTGTAGAGGCAGCCACAGGTGGGCTGGGGAAAGGGGCTTCACCTCCCCTGCCACCCGTCCAGAGCTCGGATGGCATGAAACAGTGCTATGGGGGACAGGGGACCGCAGGGCCCTGAGGCTCCCCTTATCCCCAGCAAATCCACCCCAGAGCCTTTTTACTGACCTAGAGGTATTTATTTTCATACCCCACATTTAAATGTTGTTTTTGCAGGCTCCTGATCTAGCCAAAAAGGTGCCCTATCCTTGAGTTGGTTTAGTTACTAATTGACTCTAGGAAATCACTTGCCCTTTAGTGTTCTCAATGAATAAAGCTTTTCCCCACGCTCCATTCTTTTCTTCAAAGTCATTTCCCAAGGCGGATTATGAGAACCTGGTACAGTATTTTTAGCGGGTTTAACAGATGCTCTTCTCCTACCCTATTGCTCACACACCCCATCACTCTGAATTGGCAGAGTAACATGCTATCATTTTTCCAGCACACTTTTTACTTCAATTTACATTTTCTTTTTGGTCCTTTGAGAACCAAATCACTGCGACTGAGCTGCAGAAGGGAGTGAATGGGTGAATTAGCTGCTCCAAAAGAAGCAGATGAACCACTTGTCTGATTTTCTCAAATTTATTTGTTTAAAATTATTCACTTAAAAATTCCTGATCTGCAAATTATTCCTTAGCAGTTTGGTATCGGTATTCAAAATTCAAGCTGTGATGGTTGATTTTTCATTGGACATGTGAAACCATCTATCATCTGTGTTTTCTCATCGTACAAATGCAACTGAAAATCCTTTTTCTTTTGTGAATAATTCATAAAACCAGCTCAAAATTTGCAAGTATTCACTATTTCTAAATGGGAAGTGAACCCAGAGTGGGTATAAGCATATTGCTGCTGAATTTTTTTTTTTTTTTTTTTTTTTTTTTTTTAATACTTACCCTGCCATGTGAAAGACCTTTGACACTGATTTGGGCCTGTGGAATAGCAAAGGCTCCATCCCACAATTGTGGATTACTAAAGAAAATTCTGTCTTACAAAGCCTGAACATCAAAACACACAGTAATCCACAAACTGAGACCTATTTTTGCTGGATGTAGAATCCCTAAAGGATGATCTCTGATAATGGGCTTCTCTGCATCTCAAAGAAGTGTGCTAGTGTTGCAAAACCGTAAGAGAGTGCTTTTAAATACATTGCAATACAATAAAGTCCTATCAGCAACGCTGCAACAGATTTCTTTGGGAGGAAGGGAGAAAGGAGCAATCAAACCACAAAATACAGGCTCATTTCAACTTAGAGCACCTGGGAAAGATGCCTTAGATGTCTGCTGAAATTCGGATATACTGAACAAAAAACATTAATATTTATCTATATATGTTACCTCCCTGCAAATAGCAAGTATACTGCTAAAAGGAACCCTCTTCTACACGCAAATATAGCTTTTCTATGCACATGAATTGGAGCGACGGCCACTCAGTCCACAGCTCTTTTCAAATGAGGGAAAAGCAGAGACCATAGTATATCTGAAGTGCAGACAGACATCAATATCACCATCAGGAATGGTGTTTATGCACAATCCTCTTTGCTAGGATGCACAGGCAAATATTTTCACAAAGAATAGATATTTTCCAAGCATGCATGCAATCAAAACCTCTTCATACAAAGCAGATTAAACAAGGAGCCTGAACTTGGCCAGAGACGCGTGGCATTCAAAACAAATGTTTATGAAAACTGCTCTCAACCAGGCATGTCCTGCGACAGGCAGACAGTTGGGTTTTAAAACAAGGGGCAGATAAACTCCACTGGTTGTGCATGCTGGTGTCATGTTTGATGTTCCTTTCAATTGTTTCCTCTGACCTATAAATATTATCTTGAGCTTATCTAGTTTGAGTTTCAGCCAATTCATTCTGAGCTATGTCCCAGTTTCTGCTGACAGGGGATGGATTGTTCCATTGCAGTGGTCAGTTCGCGAAAGGCATCAATCTGGAGCTTAGCATCATTCAAAGACGGGAGGTGTTGCAGTCAACAGCTTCTTCACTCACTGATCATGCATTGAAGGCAGAGGGGAGAGACCAGTACCCTATAGAAGCTGTCATGAGAAAGCTCTCAGGAGGGGGATGTAAAGGCCCTAACTCATTAGTAAGAATGCTCACAAAAAAAGTCACAGCCAAGTTTCATTGCCTGTGGCATACACAGAAAAATCCTCTTAAACAGGCACTAATGTCATCTCTCTACAAAAGTCCATTATCACAAATCCATCATCTCCATTGCAGCTTTTGGGTTCAATTTAATTGACCAAAAGTTAGTCCCAATCCAGGCTTAAAAAAACCTGATTGTCATTTACTGATTTCAGAGATGAGGGGAGGTGAGGGTTTCTCCACCAGTTCTTCTAAGATTATCCCATCTTTCAAGATTTGATACTTTGGAAAGCTAATTTTTTAAGCAATTGCTTTTTCAAAGATGCTGGCAGCCTCCAGACAGACATCAATATCGCCATCAGGAATGGTGTTTATGCAAAATCCTCTTTGCTAGGATGCACAGGCAAATATTTTCACAAAGAATAGATATTTTCCAAGCATTCATGCAATCAAAACCTCTTCATACAAAGCAGATTAAACAAGGATGACCCTTCAGTCATCTCCAGCAATGGGCCTTAACGCAACGTCCTGCAGCAGGGAGGGGAAGATCATCTCTAGTTCTCAATTTTTGCCCCGATGCCCCACCAGTTTCTCTCCAGCTGAGTCACCACGGAGAAAGATTGCTCCTTCCATCGCTTTTCCCACAGAGCCTGCTCTGCTGCCATGGAGGCAGGGGCTCACAACAGCTTTAAGCAGTATAACGGTCTGCAAAATACTTCAAGTAAGGCTCAGCAATGGATTTTGAGGCCAGATGTCTCAAATGAGTTATTCAGTAAGTCCGCTAGGCAGGATTTTGTAGATGATTTTATGAAAGTAAAATAATATGTAGGTTTTCCCCTTGCATTTTGTGAATGGTTGTAACACAACACATTTCTGGTGTTTGCCTGGAGCTGCTGAGTTTGCACCTAGAGATCTGTATTCCCCATTGAGCAGCTTTCCAAATTTCCTGCTCGCTGCCAAATTTCCTGTTTGCTTGTTTGAGAACTGCTCATGGATGTTCGGTCATTAAATGCACCATCATTTTCACTGAATGCTTAAAAAAATACAGATATTACATTTTCCAAGATAGCTTCCTGGAAAGCGCATGCTCTAAGATTTCTAGTTAGGATACTTCACTGCCAGACAAGTTAAAAAGCAGC